CCCAGATCTTATGGAAAGATCTAGTGTTCTCATGAATGAGTGCGGACAGTTCGTCCATCTCCATGGCCTCTTTAATCTTTCTCTGGGCCTCCGAGGCTGTTGGGATTTCTGGGCTGCCCCAGTGGGTGGCTATAGTTCTACGCGTTGCTAGGGCCACCTTTGCTACTAGTTTGTTTTGTGCTCGGGTCAGGTTTTCTAGGGGCCTGGACAGCAGCCAGGTCCATGGGTCTAGGGGGATGTCCGTTTGTAATGCTCTCGAGGTGGCAGCGGCCATCTCTTTCCATATTTGAGTTAAGTGTTGACAATGCCACCACACGTGAATGTATGTTCCCTTTTCGCCACATCCCTTCCAGCATCTGTCCGAGTCTGTGCGTTTCATTTGTTTGAGTCTCAGGGGGGTGAGGTACCACCGGAGCAGGGTCTTATACGCCTGCTCTCTGTGGTTAACACAGATAGTCACTGTCGCTGTTGCTTCCCATATGTCAGCCCAGTCCGAGGGGTCCCCCGGGGGACCAAGATCCCTTTCCCAGGCCTTTACGTAGGAGAGGGCGTCAGGTGGGGTTTTAAGTGTTATGAGGTTATATAGGTTGGAGATTTGGCCCTTGTGTATTGGGTTGCTCAGGCAGTCCCTTTCGAATGCAGTGGGTTTCAACACCGCCGCAGCGGCTATGGTAGGGGTTGACAGGAAGCTTCGGAGTTGGAGGTATCTAAAGTGGTCAAACGTGTTATATGGTGTGGCGTTTGGCAATTCTGGGAAGGGGATAAGGCGGTCGTTCCTATAAAAATGACAGATTCTCGTAAGGTCGTTGTCCTCGTACCTGATGAAATGTTGGGGCGTCATTCCCGGGGTGAATTGAGGGTTCCTCAGCACAGGCATAAGGGGTGAGGGAGTATTTATGAGGTTGTATTTGTCGGTCGCCCTGTTCCAGATGTGGATGGCTGTCGTGAGGGCTGGTGTCGTGTTGGGCTGTTGTGGTCTGTGTGTTTTTGGTATCCATAGGTAGAGTGTTGGCAGATCTCGTCCGAATAGGTCGTGTTCCAGGTCCACCCAGCGCTTGACCCCTGGGGGGGCGTGCATGGATTGGATTTGTGCAAGTTGGGATGCTTGGTGGTAGTCCCAGAAATTTGGCAGGCCTAGTCCCCCTTTTTTGTGTGGATATACAGGGTAATTCGTTTTACTCTAGCTCTTTTCCCCGCCCAAATAAATTTATCAATGTGCATTTGGAGATTTTTGAAGTCTGCTCGTGAGAGTGGGATGGGGAGGGTCTGGAAGAGATAGAGAAAACGTGGCAGTAAGTTCATTTTAATCTATGCCAGCCTCCCAAGCCATGAGATGGATAATTTTTGCCAGGTTTGCAGGTCTCTCAGGGCCTGGTCGATTAATGGGGGGTAGTTTAGCCTGTATGTGGAATGTAGGTCTGCTGGTATCTCTGTTCCTAGATAACGGATACTTTGCGTTTGGAAGCGAAACGGGTAGTTTTGTTGCAGTAGTGTTCGCGTGTGGGGTGGGGTTTGGATTGTTAGGGCTTCAGTTTTCTCTATGTTGAGTTTGTACCCTGAGATTTTGGCGTATGCCTCTAGTAAGTCTAACAGTGGGGGTAGGGAAGTCCCTGGGTCAGTCAGGGTTAGAAGCAAGTCGTCAGCATATGCTGCCACTTTGTATTCTTCCCTTCTTATTTTTATGCCTTGTATGGCAGGTGTATTGCGGATCTGTTGCAAGAGGGGTTCGAGGGAGAGGGCAAAGAGGAGGGGGGACAGGGGGCACCCCTGCCGGGTGCCGTTACGTATGTGGAACGGGGCTTGGCGGGCATTTGGTATTAGTAGTCGTGCTGTCGGGTTGGTGTAGAGGGTGCGAATTGCCTGTAATAGGGCCCTGGGGAAGCCGAACCTCGTCAGGACAGCAAATAAATATGGGCAGAGGATCCTGTCAAATGCCTTTTCGGCGTCTAGGGATAGTAGTAGCGTCGGGATCCGTCTGCGGTTGGCCGTCCAGATTAGGTCATAGGTGCGTCTTGTGTTGTCGTAGGCCTGTCTATTGGGAATGAAGCCTACTTGGTCTGGGTGGATCAGTTTCGGGAGAAAATGTTTAAGTCTGTTCGCAATAAGCTTGGTAAATAATTTAACGTCTATGTTTAGGAGTGAGATGGGACGGTAGTGTCCTGGTTCTTGTAGGGATTTATTCGGTTTTGGTATTAGGCTAATATTAGCTTGGAGCATTTCCGCTGGGAGCGGTTCTCCTTTGAGGATCGATGTGTAGAGCTCGCTAAGATGTGGGATTAAGGTTGCAGAGAATGTTTTGTAATATAATCCCGAGTAGCCGTCGGGGCCCGGGCATTTGTTAGGTTGTAGAGCCTTAATCATCTCTGCCACCTCCTCGATTGTAACTTCTGCTGCTAATGACTCTCGTGCTTCATCAGTGAGTTGCGGTAGCGGTATGCTTTGTAAGTATCGTGTTATGGCTTCCTCTGTGTCTTGTGCGTCGTGTCGAGATTGGGGGTCATGGTCATAAAGGGAGGTATAAAATTGAGTAAAGGTTTCTGCTATCTGTTCGGGGAGGTTTTGTGTTTGGCCGTCCGGTGTATTAATCGAGGTTATTCGGTTCCGTTGTCTTTTCTTTTTAAGTCTGTTGGCTAGGAGTGAGTCTGCTTTGTTGGATTTCTCGTAAAACATCTGCCGTGTCCAGAGCAGTGCTTTTTTCGAGTCTTGGCCCATAAACTCCTGGATCGCTTGTCTGTGCACCTGTAGCTGTTGTTGTAAGACGGGGGTGGGGTTTTGTTTATGCGCGTGTTCCGCCTTGCGGAGTGCGGTGAGGTGTTGGTGTAGTCTAGATAGTTTCTCCTTTTTGTGGGCCGAGGCCGCTGAGATAAGGCTGCCTCTAATGACAGCTTTGTGTGCTGCCCATAATGTGCCTACCGAGGTTACCGAGCCTGTATTATTGGTAAAGAAGTCTTTTATTGCTGCGTCAATTGTGTCTTTGATGTGTGGAATGTGGAGTAGCGTAGGGTTTAGCCGCCAAGCCCATTGTTTGGTCGTATTTGGAAGCTGTATAGTTATGGTAATGTCCGCATGGTCTGACCACGTGATTTGTCCTATCTCTGTCCTGTCTGTGTGTTGCATTAGGGATGGGGAGGTCAGGAACATGTCTATACGTGAGTAGGACTTGTGTGGATGGGAAAAGAACGTGTAGTCCAATGTTTGTGGATGTTGTGTTCTCCACATGTCTACTAGATTTGTGCTTGTTAAGAAAGAATTGAGTAATTTGTCTGATTTTGCCTCTGGTGGGGGTGGCAGTCCCCGGTTTTGAGTTCTGCGTCTGTCACTGGACAGTGACAGCACCGCGTTAAAATCGCCCCCCACCACCTTGTGGTGGGCAGGGAATAGTGCCAGGTGGGCCTGTAGGGCTGTCCAGAAGTGTGCGTGTGGTGCCGTTGGGGCGTATACCGATGTGATTGCATATTTATTTGGGCCTAGGTGGCCCGTTAACGTGAGGAACCGCCCTTGGGGGTCTGAGGCTGCGTTGGAGAATTGTATGGGGCAGGTTTTGCGAATGAGGATGGCCACCCCATTATGCTTTCCTTGGGGTGAGTTTGCCTGATGGCACTCTGTGTAGTGTCTGTTACGTAGCGGGAAGGGCCTGCTTTGCTCAAAGTGCGTCTCCTGCAGGAGGAGGACGTCTGCCTTAGTTCTGGTGGCCCATCGAAGGACTCGATGCCGTTTGTTCAGGCTGTTCAGGCCCTTGCAGTTAATCGAGACACAGGTTAGTGTGGCAGTTGGCATTGTATCGCTACGGCTTTTGCTCTCGGCGTGCGGGGTCAGGGGGGGGTGTGGGGGGAGGGTACTAAATGGGCTTGGTCTTACGATGTGCGTGCCAAGCTTGGTGGGCGGGAGGGTGATATGGGGGTGAGTATCGTGTGGTGTGTGTGAGGGGTGAGAAGAGAAGAGGAAGGATGGTCACGTCCACTTCTCTCCCCCCCCCGTGATGTGTTACCTTGTGTACCTGGAGTTTTGTCTGATGTACTTTGGCTCTCTGTCGAGGGCTTGTGGAGTGTCCGTCTGGGCGAGTTCGGAACTATATACAAACAAGAAAAAAAGAAGATTTAATACCCCTCATGTTTAGGTTATTTGAAGCGATGTGCAGAGTGTCTCTCAAAAGGTGGGAAGTGCTCCCTTGTCTCCTCAGGTGTAGTCTAATAGTCACCCATCTTCCATTGTGTCCTTGCGGGAGGGGGTGTTTGTCTGGGGGGGTGGGCGGGCATCGTTCGTGAACCGTCGTCCATGCTGTCGTCGTCGGGGGGAGGGAGCCCGGGGGGGTGCGGGGTCTCCCCAGCATGTCTCGGGGGGTCTCGTCTTCTATTTCCCTATAGGGCCCTATATGGACCATGTTGCTGAAAAGCTCCCACTCCCGCCCGGGGTGACTGCTATGGTCGTGGCCTATCGCTGTCCCCCTCCCCTTGGCCCTCCCCCTACGGCCTCGTCTGTTCCCCTCCTGTTGTGTCTAAGCAACTGTGCCTCTTTGGGGTATAGGCCTTTCTCTTTTTCCCTTTCCTGTTCTTTTCTTTTTTTTTTTTCCCTTGTTGATTTATTCCCTCCCCCCCCCCTTCCCTATTTCTGCTTTGGTTGTTGCTTTAAAATATGTTATTGGAGATGTAACGACGGTCCGGGGTGGGTTAGGTGCCCTGGTTAGATGTAGGCCTGGGGGAGTCCTCTACGTCCCTTTCCCAATCTCTTTCCCCCTGCTTTTCCTCTCTCTTTTTTTTTCCCCTTTCTCCCCCCTTTCTTACCCATCTCTTTTCCCTCTTTTCTGCCCCCCCCCCCCTCGTGCCCCAGGTTTGTCAAACAAGATAAGACAGGGGGGTTTAAGATGCAAAAAAACCCAACAGAAAGCATATTAAAAGAGCACAGTAGTACAAAAAAAAAAGGATATGAGCGAGGGCCATATAGCGTAATGGCGGTAAAAGTGTCCTGGGAGTGAGAGTCTCTGCGGGAATCTTGACAGGATCTTAGTGCCGCTGTGGGCTGCCGTCTTGTGGTCTTGGGGGTGCTCTTTTCCTCGGTGTGCGTCGAGGTGAATGGCTGATGGGTTCCTGACGTCTCCCTCTGGGGCCAGGTGGTCTATTCGGTTGTAGAGGTAGAAGCGTGAGGCCTAGGGACTCTGCGAAGGGGATCATCTCCGCCGCATTCGATAGTATGTGCGTCTGGTTTTCTCTGCGGACCAGCAGCTTGAAGGGGTGTCCCCACATGTATCGTATGCCGTGGTGGTTGAGGGTGTTCGTCAATTGTCGCAGATCTCTCCTTTTCTTGAGAGTCGAAGGCGCCAGGTCCTGATAAAGGGCTATGGTCTGCTGTTGGAAAGTTGGGGGATTTTGTCTGGCTTGTCGGACCAATTGCTCCTTAATGGGGAAACGGTGCATCCGCACTATTACATCCCTAGGGGTGTCTGGGTTCAGCGCCAGAGGTCTAAGCGCCCTGTGCGCTCTGTCCATTGCGAGGTCGTGCTGCGTGGCCTCTGGTAGTAGCGTGTTAAAGAGGTCGGTGAGGGAGGCCTGTAGCTGGTCATTAGTTACCGTTTCTGGCAGTCCCCTCACCCTGATATTATTCCTTCTGGACCTATTATTAAGGTCTTCTATCTCTTCTTCAAGTGCTGCCAATTTGCCATGTAGGTAGGTGATATCTTGGGAGTGAGAGGAGGTGGTGTCAGCCAGTTTAGTGAGTTTGGCTTCTGCATGGTCTGTGCGGTGTGACAGGGCCTCTAGGTCAGCTTTAAGGGACTGAATTTGGCGGTTCAGTTCAGCCTTTGTGTGTGCTTTAATTTCTGCAGTGGCTTCCTGCAGTAGGTTTTGTAGGTCCCTTTTAGTTAAGGGGGAGTCTTCTGTGGTCAGGTACCTGTTGTGTGCAGTCTCCTTGTCAGAGCCCTCCATGTCTGAGCGGCAAGATGGCGGATTTGGCGCGCTCCGCGGGCAGAATATGGATGCCACTGAGGGGGTCTTCTCCTGTTTTTTCTTTCCTCCTCGCATGGGGGAGAGCGTGCCTGGGTCTGTGAGGGCTGGGTCGCCTGTTTCGCCGGTCGTTTCCCGGCCGAGGTAGCTGATGGTGGCGGATTGCGGTCACGGGGGAGAGAGAGCTGCCGGACTAAGCAGCCATCTTCGGTCGCGGTCAGGCTCCGCCCCCGGCAATATACACTTTTAATTTCTTTCTTCGCATAAAATGTCTGCCGACATAAATATCCTGACATGACATGCTGCAGAAGTCAGGTATACTGGCGCAGGACTGCTGAACGGCACTTCCATTATTGCCTGGAAGGTAATTTCCATCGTAAATGCCATAAGGTGAGGATGAATACGTAACAAACAGCCAATCTAGTCAGAATCAAATTATTTTCAAAGAATTTTATCCATATTGGCAACATTCTGCATTTAGTGATTA